AATAAGGACCCTCTTAACGATACTGTAGCCGCATGCTTGAAAGCATCGCAAGGGAATGCTCTTTTGAATGAAATATGGTCCGACTATATAACACAGGAAGAAGCATCTCACGCTTCGAGGAGCGGTGGTGCAAAGAAGAAGGGCAAATCCGGTTCATTTATGACCGTATCCATGCTCTACCGCGAATCCCTCAACAACCTCATGTCAATGCTCTACTCCACTCATCCACACTTCATTCGATGCATTATTCCCAATGAAAAGAAGAAATCAGGTCTATTGGATGCTGCACTCGTTCTCAATCAGCTCACCTGTAACGGTGTACTGGAAGGAATTCGTATCTGCCGTAAAGGATTTCCCAACAGAACTGCTCACCCAGATTTTGTGCAGCGTTATTCAATTCTTGGCGCAGATGAGTCAAAATCTAGTCAAGATCCGAAAGAATGTGCGATGAATATGTTGAAAAGATTATGTATGGAAGGCTCAATGAATGAAGACATGTTCAAAGTCGGATTGTCGAAGGTAAGAAACATTTAGCATTCCTTAAAAATAATTTTCAGACGCAAATCTTTACGTAATAATTATTTCTGCACGATCAGATGAAAAACTCGCAATGGAGCGATCTCCCTTCGAGAATTCGTGATTTTTTCGTAATAGCTCAGTCACATTCCGTCACATGGTCGCACAATTTTCCGGAAGTGCTGTTTAAACAGCACAATATGGACTGCTCGAAAAAGGCCTTCTCCAGTCACTGGGCAATCAGGAAACATTCTAGACCATTAGCAAGATTACTTATTAAAAAATCGAAGAATACAAACACGATTTCATTTCCTTTAACCTGCCTGAAAATTTGGCTACCCCCTCGCTATTGCATTCGACGTTCTTAAACTCACAATGTCTTTCTGAATACCGCAGAACATGTTGAACTGGTCGACCGGGTTTGTGAACGGTTCGTCAGAGTGAAACAGAAAATTTCATAAGAAAATTCTGGTTTTTAACTCGCTAAACAACCAGTTGTAATGAACTGTCTACAAAATTGTCAGCATCCAATAACTATCGCTCTTCCAGGTTTTCTTCAAAGCAGGTGTTCTGGCTCATCTGGAGGATCTTCGAGATGCAAAACTCACGCAATTGATTTCAGGTTTTCAAGCCCAAATACGATACTTCTTTGCATTGGTTAGTCTCATTAATAATAGAGACGTGACCGTAGTTTCCATCCCTTACAGAGTAATTTTCGTTCAATGGCGATTATTGCTGTGATCACCTCATTGTTTGTTGGCCATTATGTAAAATACACTTCGGGATCAGTGAATTGTGTCCACATGAGGTTTTACAATAAAAGAATTCATCATACTTTTAGCAGTAATATTCCTTCATTATTATTACCAACTAAAATAGTTCCCTGTCAATAGTGATATTAGATTAGCACAATATTAGTAGTATCAGCTTATCAGCAATATCAGAATATTGATAGCTTTATTCTAGCTTCAGTACAATGTGAGCAATAGTATTGTCACGTTGTTTAAAAAAAGAGAGCGCAAATTTCTTTGCTTCATTCGTGATACTCCAAAAGGAAGAACCAAATTAGCAAGCATCTTCGAGTTTCAGATCGATTTAAAAGAACGTGAAAAACGTTTCGCGGCTGCACTGATTATTCAACGTAATGTTGGCCAATGGGCTGGTGTGATCGGTTGGAGTTGGTTCCGATTGTACGTCGATACGATACCAATAATTCAAGAGGCGAAACGTGGGGAAATTCTCGACACGCTTCGTTCGAACATTGGCGAATTCGAGCAGAAACTCGCTGGACGACAGCAAAAACGTGATGCGCTTGAGCAACAGTTGAAGGCGATTTGCGATGAAAATGAACGAATTGCCGAAGAAGTGCGCAATTCAGCGAGTGGTAACGTAGAAGTGGAACACGAGATGCAAAAAATGTTAGAGCAACAATCCGTTATTGAGACACAAATCAATGAGTCAGAAGCGAAACTGAACGACGAGAAACGAAAGACGGATGCCGAATGTGAAGCCGTTAGCAAACTAGCAAAAGAGCTGCAGTCAATGCAATCAGCTTTACAGAACACTGAGTTAACGAAACGCAAAATGAGCGCTGAACAAATGTCGCTAACAAATCAGATTCGCTCACTCAGCAACGAGATTGCACTTCAGAAACAAAACCTCACAAAACTCAGCAAACAATCCAATCAACAACAACAACTCAATCAACAAATCGCGCAACAACTCGAAACAGCCAAAAAACACAATGCAGACCTGGAAAACGTTCAGTCAAGGCTAACGAGCGCTATTAGCGCCGCTGAAGGGTCGTTGCATGCTCAGAAAACAGCCACCGCCGATACGGAAAGAGCTAAAAGGAAACTGGAAGGCGAATTGAAAGTGGAAGATGAGAATTTGAAAGAAGTTAGTAAGGAGAAGGAGGATTTGGTGGGTGCGTTGCGACGAAAAGAGACGGCATTACGTGATGCGCGGAGAGATGTTGACGATCGACGAGCACTTCAGAGGAAATTAGC